TTTTTTTATTTTTATTATACGAATGCAGAACCCTTTGCTCTTACGCTCTTAAATAATTGTCTTTAGATAATTCGTAAATTAAATCCACATTGTGTAATTCATTTGGAGTATAAATGCAGCTTCTTCATGATGGTTATTAGAGAACATGAGCGAACAAAAGGCATCAAGTCACATTGTGCTCTGGTCAGATGAGGCCCAATTCAAATGTATTTATTTTTTGGATCCAAAATGCTGTGAAGATTCATCATCTCTATGGTGAACCATAAGAGCCAGAATCATTGAGTAGGAATGCTTTTCTGCAGTACAAACAGGGAAGCTGTTCAAGGTTAATGCGAAGATGGATGGACTAAAAATAAATAAATAAAACTTGTTGGCGACTGCGCAGTATTTGGACTTTAGCTGGATGTTTTACCTTCCAGCAGGACAAGAACCCTTACAGCCATAGCTACAGGGAAACAGCTTCTATTAAAACATATTCAAGTGTTAGAATCCCCAAGTCAAAGTCTAGACTAAAGCCCATCTGGGAATTTTGTGGCAAGACTTGAATATTTCTGTTCAAAGATGTTCTCCACCCAGTCTGGCTGAGCTTCAGATATTTTTAAAGTAAAAATGGGCAAAAGTTTCATCATCTATTGGTGAAAAGTGAGGAGACGAAACTCCAAAATGTTTCCAGAGGATGTTTGGACCCGGGGTTGTTGAAATTTGTTATTTTTGTCATTTTTGGTGTTCCTTATGGTTTTTTTTTAGCTGCCCTGTTTTCCACCTTTGTTTTTCCTCAGTGATTCTAGTCATGATTTTTCTATTTATTTTCTGTTCCAGGTTATCTCGTTTCTTTTGTCAAAGTTAGTCTTTGCCACTTTCTGTCCCTCCTTAGCCTGGCTGCTGCTCTAACTACTCACACCTGAAATCAATTAACTCATCAGGTCTTTTGTCTTCTGTCAGTCTTTTGTGCTGTCTTGTGTTCTCCTCGTCTCTCCTGACTGGATTTGCTTCGGTCTTATTTTCATTGTTTTTTCATTAAATCACTAAGCTCAGCTACTGCCTCCACCTCTCTGCACTACACCAGCCAACATCATGACTGAGGAAAACTGCCCTACAAATTGCAGGTTGATAGTGAAACGTTGAAAACCATGCATCATTTTAGGATCAAACTATCCCAATAAAATGTGAAAAAGTCAAAAAGGGGGAGTGAAAACATTTGCAAGACACTGTTGCTATTATTTGCTGGTTTCTGTTGATTTGCCGCTTCTGTTTTTGTCTCTGTTTCACGTTTTCCTCTGTGTAGCTAAGGAGGAAAACTTTTCTGTTAACCTCAAGGCTGTTCGTAGCTTTGGCCCCCTGCTGGTTTCTTTTCAGCTGAAATCTGTTTTCTGGTCTGTTTCTCCAGTCCTATTCATTGCATAAATGATTTACAGCCTAAAAAGACATGTTGATATGGTGGGTGGCACTCAGCCTGCTTATTTTTGCCTTCTGTATCATATTTCCTGTCTGTATTCCCCGTCCGATGTGTTGCCATAGAGACAGAAAGATGCACTACGAGGGCTACGTCATAACAATGATATTACACTTATGTGATCAGACAGAAATGTGGTATTTTAAATCAATTGAAAAAAGAAATGGCATAAAATTTCTTTTTTTTTTGCCATTATGTTTATGTTTTTCTGAAGAACAACCTTTTCTTCAGAAAGGAGAGAAAAGAAACCCCACAGTGCAACAACATCAACAACATCACTGAAAACTACAATGTACTAATTAATGCAAGATGAGTTTAGTGCCAACCACAGGCAGAGATCAAGTGTGTCTTTTAACAGTTGAATCCAAACATGTGTGTGTGAGCGTTTCAGCAGTGCTGCTCTGCTCTTCTTTGCTCCCCAGAGAAGAGCAGACGACGGCCTCAGGGACCCACCCAGCAGCCCCAGTGCAGAACCCCAGGGGGCCGCAGCGCTGCACACCCAGCTTCCTTCGGCTGAGCAGCTTTATATAGATGCTAATTTAATTTTTCAGCAGGTGAAGGCACCTGACCAAACACACAAAGGTACCAAGAGCTGGCTCAGTCACTGTGTTGCTGCTGCGTTTAATCGGTCAGCGAACCGGCCCACGGAGAATCTATGAGAGGAAAATGAGAGACACCAGACCGTACACTGCAGATGATCAAAAAGTCAACACAGACCCTGATGGCCTCCATGCTACGCCGCATTGGTGCAGTAAATTATGCAAAATCAAGTACTGAGTGCAAATGAGTCATTTAAAAAAAAAAAAAATCACATTTCTGCTTAAAATATCTCTTTTAATTGATTGACACTAAATTTTAGGTTCTTACTAAGCAATAATTGAAACTGAAAAAAATGCTTAAACATTTTGCTCTATATGTAACAAATCTATGTAATATATGAGTATTGAACCTTTTCTTCGTATTTTTATTTATTTTTTCCCTTTTCATGAATAAAATAGTGGTTTCATAAATCTGTCTTTTATAAAATCTCTGTTGGGGGGGTAGACCATCAACAAACTTCTTGTTGCAACAAACGTCTGGCTGGATAATTGACTCATCTCTGCAAAATTGAAAGATTTTGGTGAAAGTGGTTGGTTTCTTTGCAACGACCTCACTGGTAGTCATTTCTTTAAATCCTACAGCCAGCTCTGATGTGTGTTGGAGATCATTGTTCTGTTTAAAAACCCTATTGGACCCAAATTTAAACAGTTTTACCCAAGCAGTCAGCATCAAATCAAAGGAAATTGGTGGATGTTCAGACACAGTCCAGACACTTTCCAGTGCAGAAGTCACCGGTTGAATCATGGATTCAGTGAGGTGTAGAGACAATGATCCCACACAAGCATCAAATCCTGTTAAGGCGGAATAATATTAAGCTTCTGGAAAGGCCAGAAGAACCAACCACATTGAAAATGATTGTCCTATGCTTAACATGTCATCCTGTGTCAGGAAATCAGCTGATTCAGAAAAGCGCCATTAAATATGGTGATAAACATCTGGGCAGAATTATGTCAGGAGCTTGTTAATGGCTCCAAAAAGCAGGTTTTCTCTGCAGCTTGTGATTCACCACAAGTACAGGGGCTCCGTGTTGTTCTGTATTTGAACCAGAATGGATTAAACAAAACACGTTTTTTCACATTTATTAAAGAAAAGCAATTACATGTTCAAAATTAATGGGAAGCTTTTTAAGGGTACGTGTGACAATATTTCTTGCTTCTTTTATGCAGAGTCAAAATCGCCTTTTTCTTAATACTGCTGTAATTAATTACATTAATAGTGTTTTCTTTTGCTTTAGTCAAAAATATCCTCCTTTTTCTTTAAATCTCAAATCCATTTTATTATCCTTCAGGACGGAGCGGCGATCCTTTTGAAAATTTCAATATTAACTCTACAATAAAACAAATTATAAGCATATCTGTTAAGAAGCTTATTGGAACATTCGGTGTAAGCAGGAATAATAAAAATAGCCACGTTTTTGTTGGAGGAGTTGTGGGCGGACACATTTTTCTGCCTGGGCTTTTCATTTCAGACTTGGTGTGTGATCCTCTGCTAAAGAGCTGTTTGACCAAAAACAGGGGAGTTTATGCAGGTTTAGTCTGCTGAGAAGTGGAACCAAGATGTGTTCAGAGCTCAGGTTCTGGCTTGGCTCTGGAGTTGCCAAAGAATACAGAGAGGAAAACAGACAGTGGAACTAAAATACATTTTTATCTTCTGTAACTAACACCAGAGTCCAGTAAAAACAATCGGTTTTATCAGTTCACCTTCAGGAAGACGTCATATTGTTGCTATCTAAAGCTGTGAGAACCACAAACCAGTAGGTAGAAATTTGAATGTATGTCGGAGTGTCTTGATTCAGTCTCTCAGACTGAAGAAAGAGTTTATTTGAACATGTTAAAGCAAATCTTTTCATTTTCCACCTTCAGCAGCAGCACCTGCCTTCAGGTGTTTGAGATAACAGGGAATGACTCCTTTGTATCAAAATTTTTGCTCTGCTGAATTGTTTTAATTGCGTTTCGAGCATGAATGGACTGCTTAAGCTCATGGTTGAGAATCTCAATCAGATGCAAGGCTGGACTTTGACTAGGTCACTCAAAAACCTAAATTTTGGGTTTTGTTGAGCCGTCCAGAGGCGGACTTGATATTCTTTACATGTAAAGACGCTCCAGGCTATCATGCTACCAACATCCCTGTTGGGATTATTTTCTTCTTTGGAAATCAATAGTTGGTGAGTTTTATGCCAGATGTACAAGGAGGCAAACCTTCTGCTCTTGGCTCAATATTTTCCAAAAAGATTTGGGGAGTATCAAGATGTTTTGAGATGAATCTGTTATTTTTCACCAGTTGTTGTCGCATTGAAACCCTGCCATGGATTCCCTTTGACCTTCACTAACAATGAGCTAAACAGACACAAGTGAGGCCTGCAGTGCTTTAGATGTCTTCCTGAGCCATTTTCTGATCTCCAATGTGCCCTGGAGGTGATGCTAGTAAGCTGGCCTCTCCTGATAAGGATCGCCATTATTTCATGGTTTCACCGTTTTGTTGTTCACTGGAGTTCCAGGAAACACATTTCCGATGCGTTCTTGAATTTCGAGTTTGCAGAGGCCAGTTTCATTTATGTAATCATTACTATTACCATTTTATAACCAAGGTTTATTGATGAACCAGCGAAGGCTGGCCCGTGTTCTTATCCAGCTGAACTTCCATAGCTAAAACTATTGAAAATGTAATGCTTATTCTGATTGCTGTTGTATGGATAGTGAAGGCGCCTACAGCTCCTTAAAAAACTAAGAGCCCACTGCACTGAACCTCATTGGAAACCTCCTGGTTATTCCACCAAATATTGATTTCTGAACTCTTTCTGAGTTAAAACATTAGTATTATTGTTTTCTTTGCATTATTTGAGGTCTGAAAGCACTGCATCTTTTTCGTCATTTTGACCATTTCTCATTTTCTGCAAATAAATACTAAATTTTTGCTTGCAATATCAGAGACATGTTGTCAGTAGGTCATAAGAACAATGTTCAGTTTACTCAAACAAAGTAAAATCAGAGAAACTGATCATTTTAAGTGGTCTCTTAATTCTTTTTCCTCCTGATCACAAAAGCTTCAGCCTTGGACTAGACCGATGGAAGACGGCGGCCCTGTCAGCTCAGTCTGGTTTTGTTTTTGGATGATATGGAGGATCTGGTTTGTGTGCATCACTATGGAGAACACAAGATGACACCAGGGTGCATCAAGAGAAGAAAGCCAGGAAGTAAAGTCAGTATTTTTTGGGATGTGCTGGATAAACAAGTCTGATCCATTGAGGCTTGTTTAAGTCCCAATGGTTTTTTTTGAAATCATATCTTTTCAGTTTGAAGATGCATTGCATTCATCAAAGACAGTAATTTTTTTTTTGCCTTCCTCCACATCTGCTGGGTAGAAACAAATGTCTATTTTCTACCTGGCACGTTCAGACATTTCAGAGGACAGTTTAACAAAAGATTATCTTTAGCTGGTGATGCATGACAGTCCGGTGTTATTTCTCTGTACCATATGAATCTGAGCAGTGCGAAATGTCGGCTTCAATTTGACAGCTCATTTGTCACTCCTGTAGGCTTTTGTGAGTCATCACCCTTATCAGCCGCTCGGTATCCAGACAGGAACCCTCCACCTGTCCTCTCGAGTGGAAACATCCCTGGACCTTTGCCTGCAGCCAGTTGTACGTTCACCTCCTGAGCTGTAGTCTAGCACACACTCACACGGCCCTGGAAGCAAGGAAAAAGAGGTGCTGAATTTATCTTTCCGCCATCGTCTCAAGCAGACATGTCTGTCTGCTGAACTCACAAACATCTCAGTTTTTGTTTGGGGATTTTTTTTTAAAGTCAGCCATGAAAGCATGTCTGTTCACCATGTTCATGTTTCTTGGTGATACGACCTAGAATTTATTTTATGTAATAGACTAACATAAATCGGAGCATAATTGAGAAACGAGAGGATCAGGAAATACCTGCCAGTTGTCTGAACTCAGTAAATTCAGGGTTTCCGTCTGCAGCAGCCATAGGCAGGGAGGTTGGGGACGTCATGAGGTAAAATATTACAAACATCCCAGCAAAAACACAGGAAGGCCAGGATTTAAACCTTCACGGTGTCAACAGCTACATCAAGATGCAGTCTAGAATAAATGTTTTTTGGCAAATTTATTATAAACAGAACTCTGACAAGTCGGCCTTACATTTGTATTTAAGACTCACTAAGTCAACATTCTTAATTGTTTTCTGGGTTTATGTCTCTACCAGTTTTGCACATTGAGAATTATGTAGATTTTTTGCTCATTATTCTTTGCAAAATTTATTAAGCTCAGATTATATCGAGAGTCTGTGAAAAGTCTTTCAGTTCACATAAACTTTGTCTTTTCCTACGAGTCATTCATTCTGTTCTGTAAGTGACTTTTTCAGTTTCTAGATGTAAAATAGCATCAAGATAAGTAGATAATAATGTCTGATGGAGCTCAAAAATATATATATATTTTTTATCCATCAAAGAAATTACAGATTCTTCAAAGGTTTATACAGTTATTAATCACTTAAATTATACTTAGTGACAAAATCTGAAGAATATGCAGTAACCTACATGAAGGAATACATATGACAAGATGTATAAACTCTGTTGTGTTTTATGTTTCATGTTTCAAGGTTGAGTATCCAGATAATTCATAGTTTGTATTAAAATAAAGTGAACAGATATTTTTATGAGCTAATTTTGCCCAGTTCGACATTTATCAGGCTATGATGTCAAGTTATGATTCAACTAAAGTTGGTCATAATGTGTCCATTTCAATAAATTAGAAAGTCTTTGAAAATTACATTTACTTCACTAATTCAACAAGTGAAACGTCGATACACTTATGAAACAGAGTGACACATTTAAAGTGCTGCAATGATTACGATTTATTGATTACAGCAAATAGAAACCAGAAATAAAGTTTATCAGAAAATGAGAACATCACATAGGACCAAAACTAAATAGATTTTTAACAAAAATGTGGGGCTATAGAACTACACCCTGGGTTTTTCACCTTGACAATCCAAAAACCCATTTTTACCTCCATTAGAGCTGCGAATGTTAACTTTAAAATCACAGTATAATTTTTTAATAAATATCTACCAAAGAAAAATAATTAAAGAACCTTTTTTTAATCTTTAATAAAATAACTTTTTCAAAAAAAGAGGATGGATACATATTTCTGTGATGTTGAGATTTGAGAAAATTTGTTTTTAAAAGAATAAAACATAACTAAAAATTCAATGATGCAATTATTCCATAAAAATATGAATAAGTCACTAAAAGTTGAGTTTGTTATTACATATTTTAAAACATTTGTTGGTTCAAAGTCATTAGTAGCCAGTGTTGAAGGTTTAAAGAACATTTGCAGCTTTATGGGCACATGACCTCTAACCTTCATTATCATGTAACAGTTGGTAACTCACATTTGAAACAAATTACAGAAATTAACACCCATTTTGATAATTTTCTACTTCGAGATCCACCTGCATTATTCCTGTTTGGATGCAGACATTCCCATCAGTGTTATGAATAAGAAAAGAAGGTTGTAAAATAATCAGTCGTAAAAAATATATAAAAATGTATTTATTTTGGCAATTTCAAAAGTGAATAAAATTTTAATAATGAATTATTGATTGAAGAAAAAGTTTGCAAAAACAACCAAAGAAATGCTGTAAAATATGTTTTAAGAATCTCATTCTGCAACAAGGAAAAACTGACCATTGTCCTGCTTTTTCCCTATCACAGATAATTGCTCTATATTTTCATCAGACTTCACGTGTAAATGGTAAATTCAACAATTGTGGGAAAGTCTAATGGTTTTTAGTTTTGCCTCCAACGTTTAAGTTTCATCTGCGCTGATGAGATTCCTACAAACCGCAGTAAAGACCAACAGAGAGCCAACTCCATTAAGACAGCCAGAAAAACAAACCTCAAATCAACACAGGAAAATACTGTACATTAACAGACATGATTAAATCATTACGCAGCTGCTGCAGCACCAAAATCTTCATTTCTAATAGAGACTCTCGTTGCACTAATTTGAACAAAACTGCTGAAGTGATCACGAGAGCTCAAGGGCTTAATAAGTAAATGTTAAAGAAGCTGAAGGAATAATTTGGAGCAGCTTCTCCAGTGATTGCCAAGGCACTGTTTAAGTATGCAGAGGTGGAGCAAGTCCACATTTAGAAAGGCGATGCTACTTGATTGCAGTGCAAGTCTTAAATCCTGCTGATTTATTTTGATGGTAGTCAATTTCACGAGTCTAACAAGGAAGCTACTAAAAGCTTTCAATCAATGTTTTGGAAAAAAGTGATCGCATTAAATTACCAGAGGTTCTGTTTAATTATTTTAAAGAATTACTCCTCACATTTAGGTTGACAAGTGAAAATTGCCAAGAGAAGAAAGAGCATAAAACAATATATATTTTAATGGCTGGCATGACATTATTCAAGGTAAATCGAGATGCATGTGGCTGTCCAGTGTTGCATAAATTCTTAAGAACAAATATATAAACGTATTTTTCAAAAACAGTTTAATGAAGGCTTTTCATATCCATCTTAAACATCTTATGTACAGAAACTCTCCATCAGAGCCAGGCTTGGCCAGCAGCAGCCTTCAGTGTCGACGGGAACAGAAGTGAAGCAGATACTAAAGGATGATTTGGTTTTTGAAGCCGTGGTTCAGATCTTTGTGTGGAAGCACAATCGAGTTCAGTATGATCACCTCAGAAGGAATGGTCACGTTGCAACCTGAGGGGAAGGGAAAGAGCTTTAAATCCTGTGCAGAAAACAAAAACATTACACATCACACTGACTCATCATTACCCCAGTGATGAGTCAGTGTGATAAAAGAAAATTCAACTGGATGCAGATCCTTAAAAACTTCTTTGCTCTATTAAAAAATGACTCGCACATCTTGTCACATGACCACAAATTCAATTTAACTTATTGGGATTTTCTGATTTTTGTGTCTCTGGACTTGACTGGTCATCAGTCCTAAAAGCCAGTTAAAAACATATTTTTAATCTGCTTTTTATTAATTTCTTTTGGGATTTTATGCACTATTGCCTATAATGAAGCCTTTTGTAATTTCTAGATCTTGAAAAATGCTTTCTAAGTAAAGTTTTACTCACTTCCTGAGGGTGCGTTCACACTGCAGCTTGAAGTGACTCAATTCCGATTTTTTTGACCTAATGCGACCTGTATCCGATCTTTTCAAGACTCGGATTCTTTTTGAATGCGACCCAGGCCACTTGGTTATCCGATACGTATCCGATTCAAATGTGACCTAACGTCCAGGTCGCGTTCATTCAACCTCATCGTCACTGACACTCGACCAACGTCACTATTCTGCGTCCTGATACGCTCAAGCAGGAAGAAAAACAACAACCATGATGGACTATAATGAGGGTTAAGTTGTTAAAGTGCGGCTCCAGTCGGTCGACAACTTGAAGATCGTAAGCTAAGCTCCACCTTTAGCCTCCATGTTTACTTCCGCAAACACTGAGCACTTCTTCTTACAGAGAACGCTGACGCTATTGCGCCCTCTACTGCGCATGCGGGATACCTTCAGGTCGTTTGCAGTTCACAGTGGAGATTACATGCATGTTGCCTATATTTTGAAAAAAATCCGACTTGACAAAAAAAATTGGAATTGGGTCACTTCGAGCTGCAGCGTGAACGCAGCCTTACAGACCAACAGAACGTTATGAAGGAGAAGCTAAATGATGAGCGGTTTTCAACAATAAACATTTGACGAAAGCGCAATTTACTCTGATAAACTGAAATAAAATCCGAGGCAACCAGCCTTTAGAGGTTACCTAGTTAGGAAGCAGAGTCCTCCACTTCATTTGTGTCTGGCACAGGTAGTAAATGTCACATAACGTCACAAACAAAGGGATTCAGTTAGGCTTACCAAGAATAGTTATAGAAGGTGTGAGTTTTCCATCTCTGAAGAGCGTCTCGCTGTCAATCTTTGCAAATGGATCATTTGGGTTTGGGTCACTGGGAGTTCCTTCTACTCTTGCCCACTTGCCTATGGTACTATCCCATCCCACAATGCTGTTCAAAACACAGCACTGATCCTGAAAAAGAGCAAATGAGATCATAAAAAAAGACGCAATAAAGTAACAATCATTTGTAATCAAGAATTAATGAACAGCTGATTGTACTCTGACTAAAACATCGATGGATTTCAGATATCCAGTAAAATAACATTGAGACATCCAGCAGGGAGCGTTCATTTAGAGGAATACATCAACTAAGAATCTGGCCTTGTATGCTTTATGCAATGAAAACCAATAAATCTCCAGTGGAATAAATCCAGTTTAAATGTCCCCTGGTCTTCACAGGAGACATGGGATTAAATTACAGCAGCCTGAAAATCGTTAACCATGACATCTTTGTGCCAGGCAGTGGCAACAATATTTTTGGAGACAGATGAGGGTGATGATATACTTTAGGGATGTCAGATGCGAAGGATGGATAATGTTGGCATTAAAATGTAAAGACAGCCTCATCTTTAGCTCTAAGGTCACCCTAATATTAAGCAACATTTAACATTTATACTCAGTAAGAAAACATTACATTGAGAAAAGAACAACTTTTCACTTGAGTTCAGTGCACAGAATGGCTTACCTGTAGGCTTGCACCATGAAGAATGATTGATTCTCGAACTCTGACCCCGGCGCCAATGGTAACGCCAGTTCCAATTGAGACGTTGGGACCTAACTGCAAAAATAAATACAAAAGCAAATAAAAAAAAGAAGAACCCAAACTCATCACAACAAAACACATGGCAGGGTAACATTTCAACAGTTCATTGCATAACTATGGAAAAAGCTTACACATTATCTGAGAGGCAGACAGAATCATGAGGAAAACGTAGACAGCTGACAAAAAGGAAAATAATCCAGACTTTTATAGATATACTCGCAATTAAATTGAAATGCAACAACTGTTGCCTAATATATTTCATGTGTGATGAACTTGCATTTTACATACTGATGTAATATTTAGTCAGCTGGACAGCAGCAGATGCTCCCCACAGATACAAGATAATGTAGGATAACAAATAAATAAATGATTTTACATAATTACAGTTTTTAGACTAAACATACAAAAAGACAAGAGTTTGTTTACAGACACATAATATAAAGTTTCAGCTGCCAGTGAGACACGTTGGAGTTTCTTTTTGTTTAGTTGCACTGACTGTTACCAGTAGAGGACAATGAGGAAGCCCTCAACAACAATCAAAGTTACTCACGTGACATTTTGGGAAAACAAACTGGTCACCTCTGACCTCTGACCTCGATCAAGAGAACCACGATCACATTGCGTTAAAAACAAGAGGCTAACAAGTGAGATTTTGAAAGAAACTTAGCCGATGAAACCAACTTGTAGCAATAAGCAACAATCATGTACCAGTAGGTTTTAGACCAATAAGTGTTAGAAATGCATGCAATAGTAAAGTAGAGGGATCCCAGTATGACTAAGTCTGCCTCTGCTGTGTTTCATGTCTTACTGGCCACTGCTACATTTAAACAGAGGTATAGTGTTTCTATTTGGAGTCCTTACCACAGCAGTGGGATCAATATTGGCTGTGGGATGAATATAGACGTTACCTGGGCAGAAGGAAAGTGAGTGTGAGTTGATGTGTACAGGTCAATATTTTTTGGGGTGGCTGTACAGCAAGTTTATAAGTGGTACCAGTTATTTTGGGTCCTCCCTCTTTATTAGGAGCCAGTCTTTCAGGGTGAGTTGTGTGATATTGATTGAGGTACAATCGACTGGCATAAATCGCAGACCTGTGAAACGGAACAAAAATAGTTTGACAGCAAACAAAAACAGAAACAAATCAGATTCTCGTCTGAATGAGTCACGACTGAGTGGGTTGCCAGATTTGTCGTGACAACGTTAAAGATCACGACGTCTGTGATGCGGCAGAGGTAAAAATGTGTCACTCACCCTGCAGATTTAATCTGGCTCCAGGAGCTGAGGGTTTTGTAGACGTAGAGTTTGCCCTGTCCGGCCAGGGCAGTAAATATGTCCTGCTCCAGCCTGATGGCTTCTGCTCTCTGCCAGCCGTTGGTTGGCTCCTCTCTGCACCAAACAGATCGTCAGAGTGAGGCTGAGAACTTCAAAAGTTTAGGCATCAACCAATAAAAGACTTTATGAAGATTTAGGACAACGTGGGCATTTGGGCTAAAGGGAGTATTTTTGCCCTTCCCACTCTAGGTTTTTTTTTTTATTATTATTTCTTCTGCACAAGCTACTTAAAATAAATTGATTGTACGTAAATGTCAACTAAAGTTTTCAAGGCTTGTCCACACAAAAACAGAATGTTGCCAAAACAATCTCTGCATTTGAATTTTCTAAAAACCTTGTAAAACATGGCATTATGTCATTAAAGGTCTTCATGAAAATTAAAGGAATTGATCTAAAACTGTGATAGTAACTGCGACAAGCATGTATGTTGTGATATAAAGCAATCACTAAAAAGCAAAGGAGATGTGAAGCATGCAATGGAAAGCTTTGGGTTGTGTGCTGGAACACATTACAGTGGCATCAGTTTCCAAGAACCATTGTGTTTGCATCAATTTAAGAAGAAGATGTCACTCTAAACTCAACACAGAAAAAATAACCAAATAATTAGTCCAACTTAACTGTTCAACATACATAAATATTATCAGTATGCACAAAGGTTTAGGTTGAAATTACCCGATTTTGCTTTTTATTTTTAGAAATATTGTTTTTTAACCAACCACACTTTACACATTTTTAATACAAGGCCTGCTTTAAAATGTTTTACTCTTTCACCATGCAAAACGACTGCTGGACAAAAGGCGGCCATTTTTAGAGAAATGAAAACATGAAACTCTTCACCTGTTTTAAGTGAAGCAAATGCTAGAGTTGTTGAGAGTCCTGTTTATTTTATTATGTAAAGTGGTAAAATTGCACATTTTGATTTGCACAAATTGCTTTGAAACTATTGTTATATAAATTGTGTTATAGATGTTATTTTTATGATGTGGACCCCACATTGTCATGGCAACAGTGAATAGAGATCCAAATAAACAAACAAATCCAGCTGCAGGTTGCACAGGAACCTCAATTATATTGTTATATTCAAATGCTTAAAACAAAAAAAACATATCTTATCCACTTTTAAGACATAACCTGTATACAAAATAAAAACATTAACAAAATTATCTAGTTTTTCTCCCATTATTTTAAGATTTTGTTGCACAAAATCTTTATCGACGAGAATCAAACAGACAATCAGAGAAAAGGATCATGCTGCAAAGGTTTCAAGGTTAGGAATCAAACCTGCGACTAGCCTCGGTACGTGGAGCACCCGCTCTACATCTACGTCACATGCTGTCCCCAGAAACCCAGATACCTCAGAAAGACGCTTTTCTTTAACAAATAAAACACAGCTATGATTAAACTATTATCTAGCCTGCAGTTTTAGATGAGACACATAAAAGGCATGTAGACTCTGATGGCTTCAGTGGTGAAACCAAAGCTAATTACTCAGTGGTAACCCCTCCCAAAAAGAATCTTAAAGAAGAGTTTACGTTCTCCATATTAATCAGGGTATCTGACTTGGTGCATTGTAAGACTGTAAAGATCAAACAGAGTCTTAAATATTGATGAAAAAGAATATTTTAAAAGATCAGACCCATAATCGAAGACTTTCTAAGAGAAGGGTGGATGTGAGAAGAAGCAGAGCAATCCCTGAGAGACTGCAGTAAAGGCCTTCTCATTTCTATCAAGAACCTCTGATGTGCTCCAAAGTTTGCTGATTCAGCACCCGCTCCAGTTAAGGTCCACTGATGTTAGCAGGTGAATTATTCATGGTGCAGGTTGTCTTTTCCTCAGATTTCCTAACTGTCCTTTGTGTACCATTGTGAGAACAGTGTGGCGTTTAAGCATATGTAAGCAGCTGCAGGCATTTCATGAAGGAGGGTAAAATGTTCAAAAGTTAAGAGTAAGAAAAAAAAAGGCAAACAGGATCAGTAACAAAGTTTCACCTACTCTGACTCCAACACTGTAAATATTATGCTAGACTAAACAAATGCACTCCAGGTCAATTTGCCCCTTTGCCAGTTCCTGTTTCCATTTTATACCTTTAAACCATTTTATAAAACTTGTTAAGCCATGGGGTATAGGTTTGTCTCTCTTCGTTGTTATACATGAATTATAGAGATAAATAATGATAAAAAATACTAAAGTCTAGAATGTATGTAAAAGTATTCACACCTTTTGACCTTTATCATATTGTCTCATTCAAGCCTTTGAAGTAGGGCTGAAACGATTAATCGATTAATCGTCAACTAATTTAGTAATCGACGGTTAACAGGAGAATACAGACTCAAAAAAGGCCATTTGCTGAAAGAACATCTTATTCAGAGCAGTAATTAAGCCAACATTGTACGAATTAAATCTATGTTTTGCATTTAGGATAAAACAACTTTGTAAGTTTCACCCAAAACTCCTCAAGTGGAGCAGCTTTATCTTCACCCGGTTCAGTTTCACTAAGGAATGCATTTTATTGCGTTTTCTGCACTGAATGTTTTTCTTTTCTTATTTTAAAAAAAGCAACTGAAATATTTATTTGCATACAAAAACAGTGTGGTTGCATGAAAAATCTGTACAATGCCCCAACTTTTTTTTAAATCTGATTAATAGATTAATTGATAGAATACTTGATTACTAAAATCATCTGTCCCACTTTGAAGTTCACATGAGATTTTTGGTCATTCCTCTTGACTAAACACCTAAACAGGAAGGAAAATATCACATTTTCCAAGGTACTGCCAGTGATTCTGAAGCTAGGGAGACAGTTTAGGAGGTTTAGATAAAAATAGGTGTTCACACTAAGGCTGTTGGGGGATCACACACCTTACAACTGCGCCAGCTGAAGGATCACAGACTACCAGATTTTTCTGACCAACTAAAGCCAGCTGAATATATCAAAATGTTGCGACGGCAACCGTTTGAAGAAAGAAACAAACATACCAGCAGGTGGTGGAGACAGAATATCCACACAAATCCAGGATAATTTGTTATTTAGAAAAAAAAATCTATTTGACTCATGGATTCTTTTCAACAAAAAATATATTAGATATCCACTTCTCTGATTTGAAGTAAATTACTCAAAAAAAAAAATAAAGGGTCACCTTATAAACAAAAGTCTCAACAGCAAACACAAAGCATTCTTTAGAAAACGGTGCTTTAGGAAAGCTTTCACACAGAAACCATTGTTATCGCAGCTTTTTGTGGATTAAAGCTCGCCACATACTCTAGTTGTTCTAAAGTCACAGCACACAGCCTAAACATACCAACTTACCCATCATACGGATAGCTGACGATTGTATAAGGAAACAGAAAACATGGCGTGGAAGGGAAGAAATGGAAAAAAGTAAACAAATGAAGAGGATCAAAGAAATGAGAAGGTGGTGCAGCCTCAGACCCTCATGAAAGAGAAAAGTGCTGCAACTTACAGCAACATGTCCTGCTGGTTCTTCTGAAAGACGGCGCCGATGTGCTGGAAGATCTCTGGGTTAAACAGGTAAATGCCACAGTTGATAATATCGCTCACAAACGTGCTGGGCTTTTCCACATAATGCAGAACCTGAACAAAAAACAAAAAAATTAAAGCCTCATTTTCAGAGTCTCTCAAAGCTTAAACACTGATCAATGGGGCAGCGAATACCTCATTTGTTTCCTCGTTCTCCACGATGCAACCATAATTCATGGACTGCTTCCTGTTTGCCTGAGAGTCGAGAAGTTTTCACATTAAGAGTCTAACAGAAAAGTTTTAATAATAGTGAGCAAAACAACAGCGGCCGCTAATCGTAAAATCTCACCGTTGTCCCTAGAATAACAAAACTGTTTGGCTCGCCGTGCTCGTTCTGGAAGTTGAGCATCTCTGTGAGAGGAAACGCTGAGCAAACATCAGCATTCAGAACAAAGAAAGCCTCTGGACTGCCAGAGAGGATCTGATCTCTGAAGTGATAAATGCCCCCTCCAGTGCCCAGGGCTGCAAACTCCTGTAAATACCTGCAGTGCAGAGCGGAGAACAAAGAGATAGCTGTAATTGTTTGGCAATGTTGTTGCATTATAGCTGTAAAGTTCCTCCTTTCCCATAGATTTAAATAACAAAAGATAAGTATGTTTTAAAGAAAAAATGTTACCACTGTTTTTTTATTTTCTGCATTTCTCTAATGACAAAAACAAAACATCTCTTGTTCACCTGATGGACATTTTGAACTCCTGCTGCGCATTAAACAGGAATCGGTTCAGTTCTTCATTTGGCTGATAAAAGCCGATGAGCAAAATCTCCTTCAGGTTTGGTACCTAAAAAAAATTATTTGAAAGGAAACAAAGACTGTCAGAAGAAACATCCAGATAATTATGGATAAAGCTGGTTTCCCTACCAACATGCTCAATTGGTAAAGAAAGGTTTAAATTCAAAGGTATAATAATTTGTCTGTGACTTGATTTAAATAACTCTAGAATAAAATAAAAGATGGATCATTTTAAGGCTCAACAAACCTCGCTGACAAAGTGGAGTTGGGTCAGAAAAGGAAAGATGTAGTCAGTTTTTGCATCACTTTGTAAAGTTACGTAACAATGTACAAGTTTTAACCAATAGTAAGCTTTCTGAGGATACAGGACCCACAAGAACAACTTAAAACCTAAATAATTAAATGACTAAAACCAATTAAAGTCAGAGAGTAAAAATGCACAGATAATTTAACAGATGAATAATTGCACCATTAACCTATCACCATTATCTACAATGTTTAGGAATAATTATTTCACAATTATTAGTAGTTGGTGCATTACTGGTCAGTGCCAAAAGAATATAATTTCATGTTGCATTGCAGTGCACATATATGCAATTTATCAGGCTCTCAAAACTGAGAGAATTCACATATTCTAGTTTATTGAGATGAAACTGTACATCTATACACAACCAGGGACTGATGAGAAAGGCACTCACTTTGACACACGCCTCAATGTGGTGCTGAAGCATGGGCACACCAGCCACTGGGAACAATGGTTTGGGAACCTCGAAAGACAATGGTCTGAATCTTGTCCCTGAAAAAAAGAAAAAAGAAAAAGCATCAGATTATGTTTAACAACACATTTTAACATATCGTTATCTGGTACAACACTGGACCCATTTGAGTCTTACCTAAAGAACAGAGACTTATTTGTGACAACAGGTAACTTTTCATCAGAGCCAACATAAATCCCATCAGGGGTACACCAAGGTTCCATCTTGGCGTCTCTCTTATTTAATATTTACATCTTCCCACTTTCTCAAATTACAGTAAGTAATAAGAACAGGTACCATAAATACAGAGATGATACCAAGCTCTACTTTACGATGTCACCATTTGAACCCTTACCACAGAAAGAAAGGAAAAAAAGTCAGTGTGTAAAAAAGTGACAGTTTCAGCTGCTTTCAGCTGAAACTGAAGTCGTTACTTTTGGACCTAAAGAGGAACAATATAGAGTCAGCATAAATATAGATATGGAATCTGTGAGTACACAGATTCGGTTGTTATATCCAGAAATGAGCGATCAGGTGTGAAATCTGGTTGTACTGATGGAGTCAGAGCTGAACCTTTAGAGACACAAAGACAGTTACAAAGTTGGCCTTCCATCACCTAAAGACCATCTCCAGGATTAAAGGTCCCAACATGATTTTGAAAAGGTCATCCATGTGTTTATCTTTATTCACATTGATCACTGCAATAGTGTCTTCACCAGTCTGCCTAAAATGTCAACCAGGCATCTGCAACTGATCGATGCGTCTCTTCCTCACTACGATTAGAAAGTTCACATTATGAGCTGTGCATTTCTTTTTATAACTATCTACACAGTATTTATGTTGAAATGTTGCCCTTTTATTCTTTATTCAGCTTTTATATATTTCTGTTTCTGAGTGAATCTACATACATTGCCTGACATATTTCTGCTGTTGCACAGAAATTCCCCCATTGTGAGAGATTATAGGATATATATTATTCTATTATAGAGGCAAAATAAATCTTGTACAAGTGTAACTTCAAAAGAGTTTCTCCTTCAGCTTTAAATAGGTTGAGAGCATAAACGTGTGGACATAAAACAATTACTAGAAGACGCCTTGATTTGTGTCTTCGGATTAAGCCACGTCAGTCACATAAACAAGCTCAGCCAGTTTGTTAGCATTAGCAGCTTAGCTTCCCTTCAATTACATCAAGACCACCGACTACGGAGACCGGACAGGAAGCAGGTGGATTCTCACCTTTTTGGGGACCTCCGATTAAAATGACCGCCTTCAGCATGTTGACTGAGGAGCTGTATTGTGCCAGAACACCTCCTAATGTCAACCTGTAACAGCTGGCTGCTCACTTCCGCATCCACGTACTACTTGTGACGTTACGAGATTACCGTGGAAACCCGGAGCGGAGTATGTGACAGGACGGGATTTAAGAGGAGTTGTTCAGTTTGTAAACTAGAAATCTTAAAAATATCTTAAGAATTTAATAAAACAAAAAAGAATTTGAACGGTTGTTACTTTAAATGTTTGTATATAAAGCCGACCATTGGCAAATCTCAAAGGTCAAGAAAGATGGAATCATTTATTTCTTAGTATTTTGTTGCAAAACATGCAGAAGTGAATACAAATAATAATTACGCAACATTATTTTTGCAAAGCAACCACACATACAGCCTAAATATTAATGAAGCTTGACTGTAGAAATTGTTTGTGCCTTTCTTTAACCAGATTTCCTAACTATCCTATTAACAGCTTCTCTCATCTGAATTGAGGATGTTGTGTTTCTTGGCATTCAGCATTCACTCTGCAGAACTAATAGATTCTTTAAGTTACCACCTGGAACTCACTTTTTCTTTTGGGTTTTAGTTTGAGTTCAATTTAAGTCCAATCAGCTTCTTTATGCTCTAGTGTTTTATAGTTTTAGTTATTTTTATCATTTAATTTTATTGTATTTATTAAAATAATTGCAGACATTTTTCTTTGAACAATGTCTGCAATTACTCTGTGTCATCTGCAAACTTCGTATTTTGAAGTTTGCAGATGACACAGTTATAATTATATAATATGTGGTGTATCAGTTCTTACTTCAAACTAAATTTCACCAAAACCAACAATTTCAGAAAGTAAAGTTCATATTTTAGAAAAAGTCCAGTCCACCACCTTTAGATCTCATTAAAGAGAACCAGTGGAGTGACTTATTAGTAAGAGAGAAATAAAGGATCATGCAAACGGTAAAAGCGTTTAGCAAAATTATTGGTACTAAATTACTTGATTTAACGGAAAGATTTTTAAAGAGTCACACAAAAGGCGACATTTACCAGTCCCCTGATTACACACTTAATGATGAATTTGAGGCCTTACATCTGGAAAGATATTCAGAAAGCCTAAAGACCAACAAATGGATCAATTTTAATTCATCATTCCATTATTTAGTCATCTGAAATGTGCCTGAGTGTGATTACTTTGATATTTTAGCCTGATCTTTGATAGTTGTAGATATTTCTATTTCATTTTATTTCAATTCAATTCACTGGAAAATACTTTACTAATCCCAAAGCGAAATTAAATGTTGTATTAACTCATATTATTCAGCATAACACATGGTGACTGTATTTTTTATGTTTTTCACAAGGGAAATTTTCCTACAACTAAGTAATACTGATTCTGACAGTCCAACATTTTGGTCAGCCTTGTTGCTTTTCACTACCTTGAAACAAAAAAAGGCAGAAAACATTAAGATATGCACCTCAGCCACTACATTAAAAACCAAGCTTTTAAATCGATTCAAGCCAAAGATAATTTAAGGTATTCACACTTTTGTAAGCACTTTTAATAGAAAAAAACAAAACAAATTATGTTGAGTGTAACCAGACTCCCATAAATGAGACATACAACCTGGCAGCGATACAAAATGTGAGTACACGATCCCAGATTTTGGCGTAACATTTCATGACAACGCTCTGTCACCTGAAACTTCAGCTCAGTGTCTTGTTTCTCAGAGTGTCTTTGGCACCAACACAAAGTAGGTTAAGTTGTTATTTAAGAGTTATTGCAGAAAGCAAAATAACTCAGCTGTCAGTTTGAAAGACTCATAAAGACAGCAAATAGTGTGCAGTCATCTCTAATGGAGGAGTCTGCTTTCATTCCTCCTCATTAAAACATAACCTGAAGTAAAACAGTCTCCGGAGTGGTGGTGTTCAGAACTCAAACATATGCAAATAAGGTGTGAGTTTTCATCAAACAAAATGCAATAACGTTTCAGTCACCGAGAGGTGAAGGTGCTCTGGTGTAGGCATCCGTTGCAGGAGAGGCAGAGGAATGTGACGCACTTTCAAACTATTTAAAGTTTAAAGATTTATTTATTTTATTCGCCTGCTTCTCTGCCTAACAGATTGTTTTCTTTTATAGCGCTTCTAAACAATGTTTTTTTATAGGTTGCTCCAGTTTTGATCAAGATTCAAACTGTGAATAATTACTAAGTTCTTAACATTCAGTTCCAGTGGTTCTGCCTGTTATTGAAGACTAATGAGAGGCAGACTAATAACTGATCCAGTTATTTTGGTTCTGAAAGATGGCACATCAAAGTTTTGTCTAAACTTTTTCCATCATATTTCTTTTTACCTGTCAGATTAATGAAGGGATTCGAGTAAAAATGAATCCACCAGCCCATTTCCTTTCAATCCTGAGAGACTGATAAACTCACCCAAAATATTTTCCAACATTTATTCCCTCATTAAAGAATATCTTTATATTCTGTAGCGGTAGACTAAAACTAGAACTGCATCTTTATAATCTAAACTTCATTTTGATTAAAAAGGAATTGCATATATTAGGTTAATTAATAGTTCCTCTATAATCTTTAACTGAAGTATTTATTTTAGTGTTTTAATTCAAATGTGATGATTACTGTTCGGTGAATAGGACGATGCATTGCCCTTTTGTTTTTCATACGTTTTGAGGCTGTTATTGGTTTATGAACCATAAAAATATTATGTGGCAACTCAGGCGGTCCATGACTACAACAATGCACAGCTTAAAACATTAAAAGGTAACACTTTATTTGAAGGGGGGTGAATAAGACTGTCATGACACTGTCATAAACATGACAGTTCATGACACCTGTCATGAACATGAATAAGCCTTCATGAATATTTATGACTATTGTCATAAAGCGTCATTCGGTAAATTATGACACTTTTAATACAAAGTTGACATTATTCAAAATGTCTTTGTTATGACAACGTGACATTAACCAAGAAATCATTACTGATATAAATTTGTTATAAAAGTATTACTGATTGCACTTTAAAAATTAGGTAACTTTATGTTATTAAAGGTAAAGTTTAAACAGTAATGATTTCTTGGTTAATGTCACGTTGTCATAACAGACATTTTGAATAATGTCAACTTTGTATTAAAAGTGTCATAATTTACAGAATGACACTTTATGACAACAGTCATAAATATTCATGAAGGCTTATTCATGTTCATGACAGGTGTTATGTCATGTTTATGACAGTGTCATGACAGTCTTATTCACCCCCCTTCAAATAAAGTGTTACCCATTAAATTCTCTGAGCATCGAAGCATAAATGACGACATTGAGAAAAGTTTATATTTGATTTTTGTTCATGAATTATTGACGTAGAACTGCCACTGTTAAGAGGTACTTTTATACACACACTGCTGTTTCTACAGGCTCAGATGTATTAATTTCAGCATTTCTTGTATTGTACATGAGGGATAAAATGACAAAGTCAATTTATTTTCAAACCAATAAATCATAATGAACATCTCATAATTGACAAACATATCTAATTGGAGAACCAGAAAACTCACAGAGATAAAAAAAGAAGACACAAACAGAAAGAAGCAATAAAAATAATATTTATTGAACATTTCTCACAGATTTGATAGTTTCACACTGTTGTGCCAACAGGGAGGTTGCTCCTAAGTAAACCTAGGATGTCAGCTCTTGTCTCAACATAATTTATCCCCTTAAGGTGTTTCATATTTAGGGTGCAGTGGTCATGAAAGCCAAAGATATGTACACAGCTGTGTTTCTGGTTGAGCTTGGATCAGATAACAGACAACAGTTACATTTCTTTTTAAAGAAAATGCAGCGGTTTTGCTTCGACTCACTTTAAACATAAAATAACCCTCACAAAGAAAGGCAGACATATAAAATCAGCCCAAGCAGTGATAGGTCCCCAAAGTAAAGCCACTATGAAAAAAATAAAATAAAAATAACATTCAAAAATGTTTGTTTTGACTTATTTGGCCTCAAAATCATATATATTAACATTTAGTACAGAACTGAATATTGTCTAATGCAAAAGTACAGCATAACTCAATAATTCAATGGCAACAGTTATTCAAGTGGTGTTACAGTAGGTGGCGCTGTTCAAGAGCCATCAACGGAGGTGTTTATGTCGGCTGGTTCCTTAGTGGAAAAGGAGCCAAACACCAACATAAAATACTTATGAACTTACTCTCAGGACATTTCTTTCCTTATCCACTGTCGTCGTATCACTGCAAACTAATTCTGTAAACTGTTCATTAAAATCAAGAAACCTAGTCTTTAACTTGTGCATCATTATTATCAGTTATTCCTGCATTGGTTTGGTGTGGAGTGCTTTAGGTCGTAGCTTAATCAACCTGAAAGCGATAAAAGCTTACATCCATCCTCTTCTGGATAAGTGCTCAATATATATATATATATATATATATATATATATATATATATATTTTTTTTTTTATATGGCTTCATATAACCACAAATTAAATCTGTACCGCAAAGGTTCAGTACCAAAATATTTCCCATTTCACGCTTATTTTTTAATACAAATACTTTTGGTATCTACAGTTTTAAACTGGTGAAACATTCCTTCAGTCGATACAGTGAAGATTCATCTTTCAAAGAGAAACACTGATCACTGTAAAGTTTTTGTTTTTAACTCACCTGGAACATGTAGCTGCAAAACATGTTTAACACCAGTCTTCATATTAAATGCAGTCTCAGCTCTACATGCTGCCGTACAAAACGTTCCCTTCAATAACAGTTGAGTGGGGTGACAGGATTTAGATCACAACACCTTCACATATTTTTGTTCACATTCGTAAAGTGAAGCATTTTAGGATCTAAAATATTACTTGTTTTTTGTGAGAAAAGGAAAAGTATTTCAGTGTTTTACCTGCAGTTAACGGCGATAAGAGTAACGGGAGCTCAAACGATGAAGGTGGGGAATTTGTGTAGTATGCAAGTCAAGATCCAACACGAGGACTCAAATGTTTAAAAGTGAAATCAGCAGAAAGTTTCAGAAGAACTGAGCACAGGCTACCACACGCTCCGCATTTATTGCCACCCCTGGCAAAAAATATGTACAAAACC